TATATATATAATATATATTATATATATATATATAAGATTTGGATTTGCTGCCAATTCAAAAGACTCCCTGCCCCCATTGTCTTGAGGCTGATTCAAGATAAGACAATCACAGTGCTGGCAGCTCAAAGAAATGGAATTCCTATTATGGTGCAGTATCACTGCCTGTACTCTGGTTTAGTCACTTATTTCCTTTTATTATAATGCCAAATGTTATTTAGATTTCAGTCATTTAGTAATGCTACACTGAACACATCAGGACTTCTAAAAAATTCCACACCTACCAGTCCTTTCATTTTCATAATAACCATACATTGATATCCCCTTTCTAACCAAATTACACCAGTATGTAAAAAGGAATCTGTGTTTTATCAGAGTTTAAAAGATTATGATGCACTGAACAACAGTCTTCAAAATGTTCCTTCATGTTATTAAGAATTAGGAAATCTTGTTAAAATTCTTTCAGCTTTTAAGAAACATAAGCGGCTTTGGGATGTAGTGCCTGACATGAACTTTTAAAGTAATTCCCTTGGAGCAATCATCTGCATTAGTGCAGATATTTCCTTCAAGGTAGCACCCTACGCTGCTTTCTAGTATTTGAGCAGTCAATCTAATTGCTTTCTTATACTAGAGATTGAAAGGAACCAATATTGCAGACTTTGAAGGCTCAGAGAGCTTGACTTTCTCTAATGGTGAGCGCCTCACTTGCTATCCAGGAAGAGAGCCCTTTCCTATGCAAGTAAAGCTAATGAGCCTGAGCTGTTGAGGGAGGGAGAAAGCAGAGTGTTCAGTCTTCCCAGCTAGGATAGCAGGGGAAATAGAGAAGGAAGCACAGATAAATTTATAGTACCTTGTAGTCACAGTTTAATGTTAAATGCTAGAGCAAAGGACAGATGTCCAGCCAAATGTACTCTGTTAACCACAAACAAAATTAGAACTGAGTTGTTAGAACTGAGTCTGACAATGTACCTAGAGGTGTGCATGTAAGTCCTTCATACAAAGCATGGGATTTATGAGACTTCTTTTTTCTGGTACTGGGAATCAAACTCAAGACCTTGCACTTGCTAGGCAGGCTCTGTGCCACTGAGCCATATCACCAGCCCCACATAGTTCTTATATTAATACATCCATTTGGGTTTGGTGTTTTAGTTTGATTCTAGCCTAGGATACCCCAGAAGAACTGATTTACAGGATATGAATTTCTTTGGCTCCAAAGTCTCTGTCAAATGACAAGTTACCCTCAACCTGTGCTTGGAGAGACATCAAGTTCCATGTGAATCAACAGCATGATCTGGCTTCCAGCAGGACCCAACGCAACCTTAAACTGCACTCACAGCAGCATGGTAATCTATACTGACAATGACAACAATCCTTCTGCTTTGTATCAACCACAACATGTCTAGAGGGCGGTGTTCAGTTCATAGAATCATATTTTTAGAGGGTCCCCAACAAACTGAAGTGCAGCAGGGTAGGATGACTAGGGTGCCGAGGCTTTTAGGAACACACTACTAAATTGTGGTGGTGATAGAATTCCCAGAATACTCTGCGCGGGAAAGTGGAAGGAAGCCAGGATTTGATGTGTATAACTTCACATATTAAAAAAAATCCATAATAACAGGAAAGATGGAACAAATCTGAAGCATGGCCTAAGGGTGTGAAGCTGTAGCAAAGCAGGTTTGGGATTCAAATCAAGAACCATTTTCTAGGGCTGGGGATATAACTCAGCGGCACAGTGCTTGCCTGGCAAGCACAAGGTCCTGAGTTTGATTCCTGGTACCAAAAAGAAAAAAAAGAATCACTTTCTATTAGAACTGCTCAGCAGTGAGTTGGGCATCCTTGTGAGTTCATGAATTTCCTATCAGAGGTAGGTTCTAGCAGAGATGAGAAAGAGTACCTGTTGGTTGTGCTGTAGGAACAGCTGCCTATGTTGGAATTTGGATTAAAAGTTCTAGAAGATCCTTCTAAACTCAGAATTTGTGAGTCAAGAAACAAAGGCCACTTTTTTTTCAAGCCTTTCCTTTGTACAAAGGCTTTTAAACTTCAGTTCTTTCACAGAGCATGTTTGAATCAAGAAGAAAGAAGCGGCCTCAGTCCAACTCCAGAATGAAATAGAAAATTTTTTTTCTTTTTTTTTTTTTTTGGTTTTTCTCTGGTACCGGGAAATGAACTCACGACCTTGCGCTTGCCAGGCAGGCGCTTTTGCCGCTGAGCTAAATCCCCAGCCCCAAGAAAATATTTTCATTGCTGCTTTCAAAGATGCCCAGGTATGAATGTTCTAATGCCTAAACACAGTTTCACTGATCTCACTGACCTATCTATTCAGCAAAATCAGGGAGCTATGGTACAGGAATATATGACTTCCCCCTGAACAAAGTTATTTTCATTTTTAAAGGGTAAAAGAAAGAATAGGTTTAAATATTTTCTTCTCTCATGCATGGGGCAAAGGGAAGAAGGATGCTTGCCGGAGCTATACAATAATGCATGCCCTAGGATCTGCTGTGACTTCCATCAGGAAACATACATTGCTTCTAGGTAAAGTTAAAATATTTCCAAAGGAGGCAAATATGGTTTTTGTCCTTCTGTGTGAGCAAACACATTGTGATTATTTCTAGGCAGGCCAAATTATTGTCTTGAAGTATGCAGCGTTATTTTAATACTAACCTTAATACAGGATTTTTCCATTTTTCTTTCTAATAAAATGCATTTGTATTGGGAATCTGTTTTAAAACAACAGAGTAAGGAAAGTACAAGCATCTTTGAAGAGTGTGAAAATAATTTCCCAAGTAAGCAAATAAAACTTTGCACTTCAAATCAGGCCTTGATTCATTAAAAATCTTAAACTTCTCATGAGAAAAATTAACATTTAAACCACTGCTGCTTGGCCAAGCACTCCACCACACAAGAATATGAAATATCTCCTCTAAAAAAGTACAAAAAGGACAAAACCACAAATGTGGAACTTCAATTAATTTAAAGCCCCAATCAGCAAAGAATAAATCCTTCGCAGATCTAATTACCAGCGCTCTCGGAAGACCCAGGCCGACCAGCCAATCTTCCCCGTGTTTGAACAGCTTGATGAACTAGGGGACTGATGGATATCAAGTCATTTTGTTTAATTTATAAATGGATTTTCCCCTAATACTTAAATTATCATCAGTACAACACAATGAAAATGGGAACATTCTGAATGCAAAGTCTATAAGAGTCCTGGAAGGAATCCCAATGAGGAATGTCACCTCTGTTCATTCCTCTATACAATTGATCTAATTAAATACTGAGGGTGGAAAGGCAGTTTAAAATGTAGCCATTTCTGTTTTCTTTTTAGCCTTAATTTATCTGCTCACATCTTTCAAGTACCTTCTGATGCTTAAGGAAAAAAAAAAGAAGAAAGAAACCAAGATTTCTGCAAATCCCTAATACTTTTAATTCGCTAGTAGCTAATATTCAAAATGCTTCTACCATAGAGTCTGTCAAATAATAAATAAATGCATTGCATTTGGCCACAGTAACAATAAAAGGAAGAAAGTGTTCTGAATCAGAAGGTTTTCCTCTAGTAATTTGAAAGAGGAACTAAAGGAACTAGTACTTTCTCTACGTATTGTTTGAAATTAGATCTCTGGATTATACTCATTAAAATGTCTCCTTATTTTCAAATCTCTTCCTTATTTAATTACTGCATGGGACTGAAAGCTGCATGGAATTGTTAAATACCCTCACACCTGTTTATAGTCTCCTCACACATGGGTACCTTGAGCACACTCACTCGGTAAAGGTCCTCCCCACCAACCCTCACGCTGGCTTGCAATTCCCACCTGGCTCAGGGGTCTCTGACTGAGAGGAAGAAGATGCTGAGCTGGCTCCATCCTCCGCGGTGCCCTGTGAGAGGAGACCCCGCCCAGGTGGAAGCTTCATGCCCAGCTGCTCTGCCATCTCCACGTGGTCCCCAGGGTGGACATAGTCAAAGACGCTGCTGCCTGTCAGCTCTACCTGGAGAGGGAAGAGAAAGGGCGGGAAAGACAGGTGTCACAGGCTTTGCCACGTTCAAATTCAGTACCACAGTGATTCAGATTCTGAGCAGAAAAGGAAATACACTCAGGTCCCAGAAGCAACCCCAGTTCTGAGTCTTCATCTTCAAATGCCTCAGGGTTCTTGAAAGAGAAAGGCTTTTTAAAAAACATATATTTATTTAGCAATTGTTTAGCCCAGTTTTTTTTTCTCTTCATACACTGTTGTTTGCATAAAGCCAAAACATTCTGTGAAATGTGGACGAGTCTGCCTTGCATTCAGCTGTTTTATCCACGCATCATCAAATACTTGTGTGTTTGGTGTCAACCGGATGATTGACTGGATTCTACAGTTTTCTTATTGAAAGTTTGGGCTTTGTATAAAAATAACTATGGGAACAGCCAGAGATAGCAGACGGGTATTTTCTTTAAAATACAGAGTATTTCTTTAAAATACAGAGGTAAAACACATCTTACCTCCAAGATGTGTTTCTACACATATCCTCTTATTTCTATGTGAATTTAAATGTAGGAACTGCTGCTTACAAATATATGCAAAGGCATAATGTTTTCATTAAATATTACTCATTAGCTCTGTAATCGTATGGAGAATTTTCCATGCAAAAGAGGTCAGCTGGGGTCTGAAGCAGCCATTTTTTTCTGCTGGTATCAGCTTGTTTTGCCCTCAATCTAATAAAATACATGGTACAAATCTCCTTGAGGGCTTTTTAAACAGTGTTTTATTTTGTGTACTCTGAGAGGGAGGGAGATTCTGAATGTAGAGAATGCACATGAGCTATTGGAACCAAGGCTCTGCCTCTTTCTGGGCTGGCAGACCTGACCCCTGTGTTTGAGGCACAAGCTGTCTCGGGGGCAGACGTCGCTGGCCAGGCTGGGCCTTACCTCTGTACTGTTCTGATGCTCTGTTATCTCCTCTAAGAACGGCACTAATGCTCCTAACATAATGTACTTGGGTTATAGGTGCTACAACAGGGAGAGGTGCATTAGCAATAGGACAAGGAAAAGCTTTTCCCTGGGTCACTAATGGGTTTCCTAGTCTTTTGAAGCCTAATGATCTCTGGCCAGCTGTGATGGGCCACGGGAGCTGCCAGAACATCACAGTGTCACAAGTTTCTTGGTCACTATTTACCTGGCCCCCTTGCTACCTTCTCCTCCTTTGCTCTGCCCTCCAAATTCAGCCTGAGTGCCTACGCTCTCTCCCTTGCCAAGGAGGAAGTCTGGCTGGGAGCGAGCTGTCACAGACAGCGAAATACTCAGAGCAATTATTCTCCTCAGAACTCCAAGTCCCGGTAAGATGATCACATCTACTCCCAGACACTATTTGATTAAAATCTTAACAGGCTACACATCTTCAACATCTATCAATTAACAGAGGTACAGGCAGAAGAAGAGGAGGCTAGATTCAGTTTGGTTAATAGCTATTCCTGAAAAGAGCTCACAAGTTTTACTGAAAATGAGGTACTTTCTCTTGCTATTAAATTACATTCTTCTACTGTATTACCTGACTCCTGACTATATCATTTTACAATGCCTATTTCCTCCACTTGGTATTGTTACAGAGTACATCGGGATTCACAGTGATCAGCTCCTACCCTCTGGGAGGGGGGGATTACATGGAAATAATCCCTTTAATGTGCGCCTTGCCTCTAAGCGCTTCACACAGCAATAAATGGGTAAACTGACTTTGAGCAATTAAGAAATTAAATGAAACTAATAAAATGTGTGTTTTAATATTTCTTGATGGTTATTTTGTTTGGGGATTAGTGAATATGAGGAAGTCGCTCATTTTACATAGAATCCAATTGCGGTACTTTAATAAATATTTTTTGTCATTTTTCTCCAACTCTAATGTTTTTCTTTGAGACTTCAATGCTCTTTTTGGCACGGATCACAGGTTGTGATAAGATGACAAGTGGGAGATAAAATAGGCTTTTATTAAGGGTGCTGGTATTGAATGTGCATGTAAGCCAGCCTCATCGGGAAGAGAATAGGTTACTCTTTCTCCTGATGTGCTTGGAGGTACAGGCACTTTCTTTCCTGGAAATCACATCCTGAGTGCGGCACAAGGAGACCAAGACTGAGTCACAATGTACCATGCTGTGTTACGGCACAGTGGGGACTTTCTCTTGCAGTGTGCTCCTGGGATTCTCCTCCAAGTTACCGCCAAGCCAAACACTGATGGAGAGGCTGCCACTGAGAATGCAACACTGTCGTAGTCTCCGTGTCTCTAGGGCAACACAATGGAGTGAAAGGCACAAGCTCCTTGAAGTCATAACCTATCTGATACCAGAATCTTTCCCTCCTCAGCTGTGTGACATTGGCCAACTCATAACCTCCCTGAGCTTCAGGCCCCTGTTCTGAAACTGGTGGCATTGCTGTTCTTTTTGTTGTTGTTGTTATCGTATTACTATGATAATAGTAGCAGCTGGGATTTGTTAAAAGCTTATTATTTTTCAGATATTTTTTTCTTAAGTGGCATACTTTTTACATATGTAGTTTTTCTTTGACTTATTTATTTATTATTTTGAAATTGCTGCCTTGTAGGGCTTTGGGGCTCCACTTGCATTGCGTGCCCATGCGCGGCTTTCCCTGAGCACCCTTCCTTGGCAGTGAATGGTACAAAGGCACTGGCCCCAAGAACTGGGACGGAAGCAAGACGTGCTTCACCTGGCCCACAGCCCCATTTTAAAAATTCACTGAAACTGTGCAGAGGAAATCACTTTATGAGAAAGAAGTGCTTCAAAATGTCTGCTCTTGTTGCTGTTTGTTGGATAAGATGAATGACAGAGAAATGTACCTCCCCCTGTAATTCTGGGTATTTGTCATCACTTTGAAACATCACCTGGGGGTCCAAGGGTGATATGTGTTTTGAGCCTCAATTACAGTGATAACAATATTAGCAGCTATCTACTGTGGGCAGGTACTTTTTGTGCTTTGCTTTGATGAATCTTGCTAACAATCATTGGAGTTGTTACATTCATCCTCATTTCAAAGAAGAACTGAAATATTGGAAAAGGCCAGCGGAGGAGGTAGAATTTGGTCTGAAGTCAGCTGGCTCACGTTGTTACCTCTCAGGTGGGAGCACGTGCAGCCACAGCAGCTGAGCAGGGAGCTCTGAGCTCCTCTTACCCTGCAGTCCTCCTCTTAACGTGGGGGAGAACAGTGAGCACTGAAGCCAGGAGGCTGAGGCACGTGGTCTGCCAGTCCTCCAAAGCTGAAGATGCTTTGCTGTTGGATTCTTGGACAAAAGCAGGTGTTGTAAACAAAATTAGATGTAGGGGCAGATGAAAGTCTACTTGCAATCATCATCACTGTCATAACCACGTTGTACATTTACCTAACAATTTCAACATTTCTCATACTGCTTGCCTGTTAATTAAATTTTAGAGCTGGCTGAGAACTTAGAAACCATCTATTAATATCCCTTATTTAACTGGTGAAAACGCCACACTTCTAGGAAGTTACAGTGCTTTTGCAAGTTTATCCAGCTATTTAAGTGGTAGGAGAGAAAGCCTGTGAGCCCAGATGGCTAAGTTTTAGTCCCCTACATTTGTCTTTTAACCCTGTTTTCTTTTTTCTCTCACTCTGATGAAGGTTGACTAGGTAAAGAATACTGCATTTATATTTCCTGCCACTAAATTTTGGGACAAAAAACAGAAACTGAGACTGGGCCGGGCCTGATGGTGCATGCCTATAATCCCAGCACTCAGGAGGCTGAGTCAGGAGGATTGCTGTAAGTTCAAGGCCAGCCTTGGCTACATAGTGAGTTCAGGGCCAGCCTGAATTACATAGCAAGACCCTGTCTCAAGAAACCAAAAAAAAAAAAAAAAAAAGACCAGGAAGGAGTCTTTTACTTGCTGAGCAAACTTCATGTTTGTTCCAAGAACAAAATAAATAAATGAACAGAACTCCAAACCACTGTTAATTTAACACCAAATCCTCAGTTCTTAACTTTCCCCAAACTTTCTCCCTGATTACTTGCCCTGTGAGTGGGTGGCCTATAACAAAATTTGTAAAATGAATAAAGGATGGGCATCTAGGCCTGAAAAAAAGTTGCTTTATCATTGATGTGGACAAGTTTAAGTACGTTTTTAAATATTATTGATGACATTAACATTGTAGATTTACTTTGTAAAATGAATTACAATATGGCATCATAATATATTAAATTTGAATTGTAAAATAGCCCCATAAAAAGTATTTCTTAGCTATCTCAAGTCACCAACAGTAGAAATTTAGATAAATTTCACTTGGTATTAATTATTGATCCTATTTTTAATCCTTCATTGTGATGTCCACAAAGCAAAAGTACAATTTTCCCCTCAGTGGCATGTTCTGATCAGTGCAAATTGCATTCCAGGCAAATGAGAGCATCTCTTAGCTTCATAGTAAACTCAATCTCTATATATGATAGTTTTAAAAAAACATTCTGTTTACTGAAATGAAGACATAGACCTTTGGGATGGTTTCCCCAGGACAAAAAGAGGACACAAAACTATTTCCAGGTCCAACTTTACTCCAAATGAGCGATACTAACCGAGAAATGGCTCTCCTGGGTCTCTTAGTGTGTTTCAAAAGAGGTGAGAATGCATCAGGAAAGGCAGACAGGCAACCAGCGAGAAGCAGTCACATCAAGAGCCAGTGCTGTGTCTAAGCTGTTTCGTCCTGGCTTTCCCCACCCAGTGCTACTATAGACTCCTGCAGGACACACCCAGCTGCAAGTGCCACCTGGTACTGCCTATAGCACAGCTCACCGGCGTAGCTCTCCTCAAATGTATTTCATGTTCTGTCAGTTTGCCTGTGATTTGCACACTAGGCACAGTTGATTTGGAAACTCTGAAGTTTCCTAGAAAAAAATGTAAATATATTATAAGTGGTTTGAGTTGACTTTTCCATGTCAGGTCACTGTACCCTGCTGGTAGATAGGATGGGGAACTAATTTGTCTTTTCATACATCAAGCA